AGAAAAAATATACTTAATGTATAATCTTTTGAGTATATATAGGTATATAGATAGATAGATATATTTTTAATCACATCTATTCCTTTTGTTCCCCACAGAAAACTTTTATTTAATAAGTACAAATTTCATAAGTACAACTTTAATATAGTAATTCTTCCCATCATACCCACCTTCCCACCCTCACTCCCACTCCAACACCTCCTCTCTCTTCCATTCCATCTCCCATTCTCCATTAAGATTCATTTTCTTTTTTAAAAATATTTGTTTATTTATTTGAAAGTCTGACTTACAGATAAAGAAGGAAAGGTGGAAAAGGAGAAAGAGAGAGAGAGGTGTTCCATCTGCTGGTTCACTCCCCAGATGGCCTCAATGACCAGAGCTACGCTGATACAAAGCCAGGAGCCAGGAGCTTCCTCCAGGTCACCCATGTGGGTGCAGGGGCCCAAGGACTTGGGCCATCTTCTACTGCTTTCCCAGGCCATAGCAGAGAGCTGGAATAGAAGTGAAGCAACCTGGACTGGAACCAGCGCAAATATGGGATGCTGGCACTGCAGGCGGCAGCTTTACCCACTACGCCACAATGCCGGCCCCAAGATTCATTTTCAATTAACTTTGTGCACAGTAAACCAACTCTATACTAAGTAAAGTTTTTAACAATTTGCACAGACACACATACACACACGCAAATAAACTGTTTCAGAACAAGTTTACAATTGATTCTCATAATACAATTCATTGAGGACGGAAGTCCTGCATGGAAAGTAAGTGCACAGTGACTCCTGCTTTTAATTTAACGATTAAAACTCTTATGTATGATGCCGGTGATCAACCAAGGCTCTTGACATGAGCTGTCATGACTATGGAAGCCTTTTGAATTCACAATCTCTGTCAATACTTAGGGCCATAAGCAAAATGGAAGTTCTCTCCTCCCTTCAGAGAAAAATACCTTCTTCTTTGATGGGCACTTCTTTCCACTGGGTTCTCACACAGATCCTTCATGTATGACAGTTTTTTGCCATAGTGTCTTGGCTTTCCATGCCTGAAATTCTCTCATGGGGTTTTCAGCCAGATTAGAATGCCTTAATGGCAAGTTCTGAGGTTAGAGTGCTGTTCAGAGTGGATGTCATTCTATGAGTCTGCTGTGTAGACTGCTTCCCATGTTGGTACATTGTCTCCTTTTTTAATTTTATCTATTATTATTATTATCAGACTCTTGATCTTATTTATATGATCCTGTTAATACTTAATCTTATCTATATGATCACTTTAACACTTAATGCTTAAGCTGGCATTTTTACCACCCAGCTTAATGGGATTTGGGCTCCCATAGCAAGTTTTTAAACTATATACATTGATGGAAGTCTGTAGGAATGTATGCGGAATAAATTTACAGTTACAAACTTACTCCTCCCTCTCTTATTCATCATCTTACTTTTACTGAGCTCTATTTTCAATTGACTTTATACACAAATGATTAACTCTATGTTAAGTAAAGAGTTCAGCAAATAGTATGAGGAAGAGAAAAGAAAAAAAAAAAAAACTGTTCCTCAACAGTCAAGCAAGGGCTGTTCAAGTCATTGCTTCTCAAAGTATCAATTTCACTTCTACAGATTTCCTTTTAGGCGCTCTATTACTTAACCCAGATCATGAAGAACATATGGTATTTGTCCCTTTAGGACTGGCTTAATTCACAAAGTATGATGTTTTCCAGATTCATCCTTTTTTTTTTTGCAAATGATGGATCTCATTTTACTTTTCCAATGTGTAATATTCCATAGAGTATATATCCAATAATTTCTTTATTCAGTCTTCAGTTGATGGACATTTATGTTGATTCCATGTCTTAGTCATTGTGAATTGAGCTGCAATAAACATGTGGATTAGGGTAACTTTTTTTCCACATCCTCACTAGCATTTGCAGTTTGTTGATCTCTGTATGAAAGCCATTTTAACTGGGGTGAGGTGAAACCTCATTGCAGTTTGGATTTGTATTTCCTTGACAGCTAGTGATCCTGAATATTTCTTCATGTGCCTGTTGATAATTTGGTTTTCCTCTTTTGAAAAAATTCTGTTTAAGTCCTTTGTCCATTTCTTAACTGTGTTTTTTTTTTTTTTTTTTGTAGTGGAGATTCTTAGTCTCTATATATTCAATTAACCCTGTATCGGTTTGCATAGTTTGCAAATAATTTCTCCCATTTGTCAGATGCCTCTTCACTTTCCTGAGTATTTCTTTTGCAGTACAAAACCTTCTCAGTTTGGGGTAATCCCATTTGTTGATTTTGGCTTTAATTTCCTGTGTCTGTGGGGTCTTTTCCAAAAACTCTTTGTCTTTGCCAATGTCTTGCAGGTTTTCCCCAATGTTCTCTATTAATCTGATGGCATCAGTTCATAGATTTATATCTTCTATCCATTTTAATGTATTTGTAAAAAGTGTAAGGTAGGGGCTCTAATTCATTCTTTTGCATGTGGACATCCAGTTTTCCCAGCACCATTTGTTGAAGAGACTGTCCATGCTCCAGGGATTGGTTTTAACTCTTTGGTCAAAGGTAAGTTGGTTTTAGATGCTTGGATTGATTTCTGACATTTCTATTCTATTCCATTGGTCTATCCATCTGTTTTTGAATCAGTACCAGGCTGTTTCAATTATAGCTACCTTGTAGTATGTCTTGAAATCTGATATTGTGGGGCCAGTACTGTGGCTCAGCGATTTAAAGTCCTAGCCTGAAGCGCCAGCATCCCATATGGGTGCTGGTTCTAGTCCCAGTTGCTCCTCTTCTGATCCAGCTCTCTGTGCCTGAGAAAGCAGTAGAAGATGGCTCAAGTCCTTGGGCCCCTACACCCATGTGGGAGACCCGGAAGAAGCTCTGGACTCCTGCCTTCTGATCAGCGCAGCTCCAGCTGTTGTGGCCATCTGGGGAGTGAATTAATGGATGGAATACCTCTCTCTGTTTCTACCTCTCTCTGTAACTCTTCTTTCAAATAAATAAAATAAATCTTTTAAAAAAAGAAACCTGATATTGTGATGCTTTTAGCTTTGTTTTTGTTGTATAAGATTGCTTTAGCTATTTGAGATTTTCTGTAATTTCATATGAGTTACAGCATCATTTTTTCTAGATCTGAGAAGAATGTGTTTGATATTTTGATTGGTATCACATCGAGTCTTTAAATTGCTTTCAGAAGAATGGTAATTTTGATAATATTGATTCTTCCAATCCATGAACTTAGAAGATTTTTTTCAATTTTTTTGTATCTTCTTCAGTTTCTTTCCTTAATGTTTTGCAGTTCTCATCATGGAGATCTTTGACATCCTTGATTAAATCTATTTCAAGGTATTTGATTTTTTAGTAGCTTTTGTGAATGGCATTAATCTTCTAAGTTCTTTCTCAGTCATGGCATTGTCTGTGTATACAAAGACTGTTGGTTTTTTGTGTGTTGATTTTAGATCCTGCTACTTTATCAAATTCTTCTATGAGTTCCAATAATCTCTTGGTGGAGTCCTTTGGATCACTATATATAGAATCATGTCATCTGCCAATAGGGAGAGTTTGATTTCCTCTTTCCAAATTTGTATCTTTTTGATTTTCTTTTTCTTTTCTAATAGCTCTGGCTAAGCCTTCCAGGACTACATTGAACAGCAGTGGTGAGAATGGGTATCATTGTCTGGTTATGGATCTCAGTGGGAATGCTTCCAACTTTTCCCCATTCAATAGTACCATGGGTTTGTCATAAATTGCCTTGGTTGTGTTGAGGAATGTTCCTTCTATACCCAATTTGCTTATAGTTTTCATCATGAAAAAGTGTTGTATTTTATCAAATTCTTTCTGCATCTATTGAGATAATCATATGGTTTTTCTTCTGCAGTTTGTTAATGTGGTCTATCACATTGATTGATTTGCAAACATTGAACCCTCCCTGCCTACCAGGGATAAATCCCACTTTGGGTGAATGATCTTTTTGATGTGTTGTTGGAATTAATTGGCTAGAATTTTGTTGAGGATTTTTGTGTCTATGTTCATCAGGGAAATTGGCTGTAGTTCTCTTTCTCTGTTGCAACTTTTTCAGTTTTAGGAATTAAGGAAATTCTGGTTTCATAGAAAGAATTTGGGAGGATTCCCTCCCTTGAAGTTGTTTTGAATAACTTAAGAAGAATTGAGTTAGTTCTTTAAATGTCTGGTAGAATTCAGCAGTGAATCCATCCAGTCCTGGGCTTTTTTTGTTGGGAGGGTCTTTATTACTAATTCAATTTCTGACTTGGTTATGAGTCTGTTTAGGTTTTCTATGTCTGCATGGTTCAATTTAGGATATATGTGTCCAGGAATATATAAATTTCCTCTAAGTTTCCCAGTTTGTTGGCATACAGCTCTTCATAGTAATTTCTGATGATTCTTTTTGTTTCTGTGGTATCTGTTATTGAATTTTCTTTTTCATCTCAAAATTTTTACTTTGGGTCTGCTATCTCCTTTTTTGGTTACTTGGGCTAATTATTTGTCATTTTTTTATTTTTTCAAAAAAACAACTCTTTGTTTTGCTGATCTTTTGTATTGTTTTTTTTTAATTCAATTTTGTTGAGTTCTTCTCTAATTTTGATGATTTCTTTTCTCCTTCTAGTTTCAGGCTTGGTTTGCTGTCATTGTTCTGGGTCTTTGAGATGCATTAATAGCTCATTTATTTGGTGTCTTTCCAATTTCTTAATGTAGGCACCAATTGCTTTCAACTTTCCTCTTAACACTGCTTTTTTGTATCCCGTAAGTTATTTTTTTAACATGCAACATACAAACTTCATTTAACACAACAGGGAAGTCAACCAGGCACTTCCATCAAGGAGATGGGCCAGGGGACACCTCTCTAACTATAACTAACTGCAGCTGCATTAACTGAGCTGTGAAGAATACAGCTGCCACACAGGCATGGATGAAGATCTGTACACTCCAGTATTCACTGAATACTACCTTATATACACATATACAGTAAATTGGGAAGGTCCGACGTCTCCTGCACACTTCATTTCTGTTGCTCTTTTTGGAAGAGGTCATCTAAGGAGAAGAATATGTGGCTCTGGCTCATGAATCATGTAGTGAACCCATCCCAGACTCTGCTGCACACCAAGTCGCCTCCATTCCTCTTCAGACATCAGGTGGGTTTTGGGTACTTGTTTGGAGAGTTCTCTGGGTAACATGACATGCCGGTACTCGTAGTGCTCATCGAAGTACTTGTCCAAGTAATAAATCTGCTTGTGAGCCATCCTGCCGGCGCATAGTGGACAGGCAGAGAAAAAGAAGAGCATGAAGAGTGGGCACAGCCACCGCACGTCCAACTCCGACCAAGGCAATGACTCAACTGAGACCTAAGTTTTTTTTTTTTTAATATAAGATTTTATTTATGTATTTGAGAGGTAGAATTATAGACAGAGAAGAGAGAGAGAGAAATTTTCCATCCACTGGTTCACTCCCCAAATGCCCACAAAGGCTGGAGCTGAAACAATTGGAAGCCAGGAGCTATTGTTTTCTAGATCCTTGTGATGCATTGACAGCTTATTTATTTGGTGTCTTTCCAAATTCTTGCATTAGGCACCAATTGATATAAACTTTTCTCTTAACACTGCTTTTGCTGTATGCCATAAGTTTTGATATGTTGTATTGTCATCTTTATTTGTTCCTAGATATTTTTTTTTGTTTCCTCTTTTGATCTTCGATGAGCTACTATTCACTCAGAAGCTCTGTTCTGTCTCCATGTGTTTGTATATGCTCTAGAAATTCTTGAGTTGCTGATTTTCAGCTTCATTGCATTGTGGTCTGATAAGATGAATGGTATGATTTCAATTTTTTGAATATGCTGAGACTATCCTTATGGCTTAATATGTGGTGAATCCTAAAGAATGTTCCATGCACTGGTCAACATAATGTGTATTCTGTGGCTTTGGGGTGGAATGTTCTGTAGGTATATGTTGGATCCATTTAGTCTATACTGTTGATTAACTCTGCTGTTTCCTTATTGATTTTTTTGTCTGATTGATCTATCGCTGAAAGTGGGGTTTTGAAGTCCACCATTACTATTGTATTTGAGTTTATATCTCCCTTTTAATCCATTAACATTTCTTTTACATAGTCAGGTGCCCTGTAGATAGGTGTGTATACACTTATGAGAGTCATATCTTCCTCTTGAATTAATCATTAATCATCTTACAGTATACTTCTTTTGTCTCTTTAAGTAGTTTTTGTGTTAAACTCTATTTTTTCTGTTATTAGGATGGCTACACTAGCACTTTTTTGGTTTCTGTTAGCAAGGATTATCTTTTCTATCCTTTCATTTTCAGTCTGTGTGCATCTTTGTAGGTAAAGTGTGTTTCTTGTAGACAGTATATAGATGGATTGTTCTTTTTTAATCCATTCAGCCTGTCTGTGTCTTTTAATTGGAGAGTTGAGACCATTTACATTCAGGGTGGCTATTGTTAAGTATTGATTTTGCCCTGCCATATTTTCATTAATAGTCCAATTTTTTAACTTTGGGTTACCTTTGTACTTTTACTGGGTCATTTCCTAAATTCATTTTCTTTCATGGTGATGTTCTTATTTCTGTGTGTAGTACATCCTTTAGCATCTTTTGCAGGGCTGGGCAGGTAGTTACAAATTCTTTCATTTTCTGTTTGCTGTGGAAGATATTCATTTCTCCTTCATTCATAAATGAGAGCTTTGCAGGGTACAATATTCTGGGTTGATAGTTTTTTTCCTCTTAGAACTTGAAATATATTTCACCATTCTCTCCTTAAGATTTCTGATGAGAAGTCTGCAGTGAGTCTATTTGTGTTTCCTCTGAAAGTGATTTGGCATTTCTCTCATGAACATTTTAAGATATTGTCTTTTTTTAAAGATTTATTTATTTTTATTTGAAAGTCAGAGTTACACAGAGAGAGGAGAGCCAAAAAGAGAGAGAGAGGTCTTCTATCCCCTGGTTCACTACCCAATTGGCCACAATGTCTGGAGCTACACTGATCCGAAGTCAGGAGCCAGGAGCTTCTTCTGGGTCTCCCCTGTGGGTGTAGGGGCCCAAGGACCTGGGCCATCTTGTACTGCTTTCCCAGGCCACAGCAGAGAGCTGGATCAGAAATGGAGCAGCCAGGACATATGGGATGCTGGCGCTTCAGACCAGGGCATTTACCCGCTGCACCACAGTGCCGGCCCCAAGATATTGTCTCAATGTTTTACTGTGGGGAGTTTTACTACAATATGTCATGGTAAAGATCTTTTCTGTCTGTATCTATTGGGAGTTCTGTGTATTTCCTGTACTTGAATGTATCTTTCTTTTTCCAGATAAGGAAAGTTTTCTGCTATTGTTTCATTAAGGCCCTCTAATCCTTACTCTATTTCCCTGCCTTCTGGAACACCTAGAATCTGTGTTTTTGGTCATTTGATAGTATCTTGTAGATCTCTAACCATGTTTTTTAGCTTTTGAATTTTTTCTTTTTTTTTTTTTAATTTGATTGTAATATTTCCAGAAATTTTTCTTCTGTGTGGTCTGATAAGATGAATGGTATGATTTCAATTTTTTGAATATGCTGAGACTATCCTTATGGGTTAATATGTGGTGAATCCTAAAGAATGTTCCATGCACTGGTCAACATAATGTGTATTCTGTGGCTTTGGGGTGATATTCTTTATTCTATCTATTTATTTATTTATTTATTTATTTATTTATTTATTATTATCTATTTATTCTATTCCCATTGCACTTTTTACCTGATTTATTGAATTCTTCATTTGTAGTGTTTCATTTTGACTTCTCTTTAATATCTCAATTTCTTGGGGGAACTTTTCATTTAGATCACAAATTTGCTTCTGATTGCTTCTAAGTAATCTGGCAATTAATTTTCTCAATTCCATTTCTGGCATATCCTCTATCTCTTCATCTTCACCTTCTATTATTGAAGAGTTGTAGTTTTCCTTTGGGTGCCATAGTGTCTTCCTTTTGTTATTTAGCATTTTTTCTTTGTTTTTAACCATTTGCATATTTTTCTTTCTTTTTTTTTTTTTTTTGTTGGGTTGCTTTACTCTTTGTGTCTTTGTGATTTAGTGAGATGTCTATATTTTTAGGGAGTTCAAAAAGGTGAGTGCTGGATGTGTCCTGTGCTCCAGGGTGGAGGGAGTATCCAATGTAAGGCCCTCATGGGGCTTTTTAGCTTTCCTCTGGTCTTTGGTTGGAAGAAACTGTTCATTTCAGTTGGTGTGACCCACCCTTTTCCTCACAGTTTTGGGATGCCCCAGTGTTAGTCTCTGATGTATTCAGGGTCATATTGCCCTCCATAAAGGACTGTGCCTCTAATCTGTGCAGACTTTCTTGTGGTGGGTGAGGTTTCCCTCTGTTACAAGCTGCTATATGTCTTTGCATTGCAAGCAGATGCATGGAGCCCCGCCTACTGGAGCCCAGCTCACTGATCAATCTTGGTGGTGGCAGGTATGAGCACCAGTACACAGAGCCCTGCCTACTAGAGCCTGGCTCGCTTCTCAATGCTGGAAATTTTAGATATTCAGAACTTCTCTTTGTTGTACTGCTTGCTTGGTGGGGAAGAAATTTTTCTGAAATGCTGTGGTCCTCATTCCCAGATAGTGTGGTGAGGTGGCCCTGCAATTGATAGGCGTGTGCATGGGAGGCAAAGGAGGCAGTCCCCTGCCTACATTCGAAAATGTAAACAAAAAAATGGCTTCTCCCAGAGAGTTGCAGATCCAGGTGGGGTGGGGAAAGGGAGGAGATGGGCAGAGGGATGCTCTTCCTGTTTGTTCCTCTATACTTTCTCTTTTTTTCCCCACATGGAACTTCAAAATAAGTTCACTAAGCTCTCCCTCCCACTGCTATTTGCAGCTCTATGAACGCATGATTTCCCATCTTACCTGGTCCTCTGGGGGCTGGTGCCAACCTCCTTGGTCTGAGTGTCCGCTGCTTCCCTTTCTTATTTGCTCTTTCAGCGTAGACCTGCCCTCTCTCTGTCACCCTCCTGGGCTTCCCATTGAGAATTTCCCAAGGCTCTATCTCTAATGTGAATCTTCTCCCCCCCCCTTTTTTTTGACAGACAGAGTGGACAGTGAGAGAGAGAGAGAGAGACAGAGAGAAAGGTCTTCCTTTGCCATTGGTTCACCCTCCAATGGCCGCCGCAGATGGCACGCTGCGGCCGGTGCACCACGCTGATCTGAAGGCAGCAGCTGGGTGCTTCCTCCTGGTCTCCCATGGGGTGCAGGGCTCAAGCACTTGGGCCATCCTCCACTGCACTCCGGGGCCATAGCAGAGAGCTGGCCTGGAAGAGGGGCAACCGGGACAGAATCCAGCGCCCCGACCAGGACTAGAACCCGGTGTGCCGGCACCGCTAGGTGGAGGATTAGCCTGTTGAGCTGTGGTGCCAGCTTTTCTCTCCTTTTTAACCATCTATTTTGCCCCGTGTGACTAAGATGGTCCTGTTGCTATATCACCATCTTGGGACCACCCCTATAAATTCTAATTATTGAGAGCATGGGGTAATTTTTCTGTGTAAGGTATCCTGACTGCCCACAACTTGGAAATATTAGTTGCTCAATGTATGCTTTTTTTTTTTTTGACAGGCAGAGGTAGACACACAGAGAGAGAGAGAGAGAGAGAGAGAGAGGTCTTCCTTTTCCATTGGTTCACTCCACAAATAGCCATTACTGCTGGCACGCTGCTCCAATCTGAAGCCAGGAGCCAGGTGCTTCCCCCTGGTCTCCCATGTGGGTGAAGGGCTCAAGCACTTGGGCCATCCTCCACTGCACTCCCGGGCCACAGCAGAGAACTGGACTGGAAGAGAAGGTACAAGGATAAAATCCGGCTCCCCAACTGGGGCTAGAACCAAGAATGCTGGTGCCGCAGGCCGAGGATTAGCCAAGTGAGCCGCAGTGCCAGCCCAATGTATGCTTTTTCTAAAGATTATTTATTTATTTGAGAAGTAGAGTTACAGACAGTGATAGGGAGAAACAAAGAGAAAGGTCTTTCTTAATGTCTGTTGGTTCACTCCCCAATAGGCGCGATTGTTGGAGCAGTGTCGATCCGAAGCCAGGAGCCAGGTGCTTCCTCCCAGTCTCCCATGTGGGTGCAGGGGCCCATGAACTTGGGCCATCTTCTACTGCTTTTCCAGGCCAAAGCAGATAGCTGGATTGGAAGAGGAGCAGCTGGGACTAGAACCGGCGCCCATATAGAATGCTGGTGCCACAGGCAGAGGATTAACCTACTGTGCTACAGCGCTGGCTCCT